GATGCTGGTGAGAAATCTAGTCAAAATAAATCTGTGGCTAGTTTTGGGCTTAGAAGAATGCATGTAGCTAACTCAAGTTAGGACAAATTTGATTAGCCTTATATATTGTGAAACTTGTATTCCAGATAGCTAAGTCAAACCAAGTCAGGACCTGAAAGCTGTTCTGTACCCTTGGTTCTTGGAGTCTATCAGAGAGACTTCTTAAGAAACAGCAGTACCACTTTGCACTCTATACCACTAGTCTTACAAGTTCTGTTTTCCTATACTGGTTTCACTGCTATTTTCATGTAATACAAGCAAAGCACCTCAAATAACATCCCGTTAACACAAACAAGCCTGACTTTAATTTCTTATAGAAGCATAAATTTAGAGTAAATCTTGAATTAACTGATATTCTGGGATAGTGCTATTTCAAGAGGTCCAACAGGGATGGTATTTTGAAATATAGACCCACACTGTGAAAACCACATGCCTTTTCCTCTTCCTACAAACATGCAGTTCTAACTCTCACAGAATCAAGCACGTAGATCCTGAGCAGAACAAGAGACATGATGACACAACAGGATGCAACACAAACATCATTTGTCAGGCAGACTCCTGAAGTGTTGTAATCAAGCTTCCCTGAGTGAGGAGTGCTGGCTGCCCCTGTACCATCACTTGCACTACCAGGGACAAAAAAACCTCAGTTCCATTCTTTCCAGAGCTGGGAAACTCAACCTTAAAGACTAATTATACACTCAAAGACACCCTCAGCAGTAAGATATCCCTGGAGGATTTTTTGGGTCCACTAGAAGCCACTGTCCTATCAACAAAAAATTCACTTTCCTCTGGCCCTGTTCCCACACATACTCCCTACGGCTATTTCCACCCACACTACAGCTCTTTTTAACTGTGTTTAAAAAGCTGAGAGAGAGAAAAATGTGCTGCTGCTGCTAGCGCTCCTCCTCCTCAGGTGGGTGGGTTGGTAGCTGGTCAGTTTTCTGCAGCATTTCTCATTGCTGGATGCGTGGGAGGCCGAGAGCAGGAAGGGAAGCGGTCCTCTTAGGAAGGGAGGCATATCAAAGTGAGTGGGAAGCAAACAGCCCCTTCCCACCTGCACATGTGCAATTACATGCAAATGAAAAGCTAACACAACAGATCTGCAAGCAGAGCTTTCCAAGCTGTGGTCCTAAAAGGTAACACCTTGGGTCTCAAAGCCAAATCCAGGGGTGACCAGATCCCTAGGAAGACAGCATTTTTCACCCACAAAGAAGAACAGACCCGTGGGGAGGGAAGGGCAGAGGGCGTTCTTTGCAGTTCTGGGTTTGTACGTAGGTGGAGGATGGCTCAAGGGGATGAGTGACAGATTGCTCGTGGCAGCAGGGAAGAAAGATGTAGGAGGGTATTTGCCCGGGGTCCTGTCTAACCTAGGGGGTACTGGCAGGGTGGATGTAGGGCGAGTGGTTTGTCTAAGCTGGGGTGGTGGGAGGGGAGGAATCCACCGGTGGATGGACCTTGCTTGGGGCCTTTCTGCTGGGCTCATCAACACGGCAGCATCTGCAGCAGCACCCAGCCACTCCGCCCACCCCCCACTCCACTTTCCCTAGTGCCCTCTGAGGCCAAAAGAAAGTGGAAGCTGCTTCATTATGGATTTGCTTTCATCCTTTTCCAAACAGTTCTAGTTCCCCACTGATAAGATGAAAATTAACTGGTTAAAAAAAAAAAAAAAAAAGTAAAAGCTTCTTTCCCCCCCTTCACACACCTCCTTGTCACAAGACAAACTCACTACTGCATGCCATTAGCTGTGCCCTCATTCCAAATCTATGACCTCAGATGTTACATGGATGCACTATCTGGAAAGTCTCTGACCAAAAGCCCTGGGGAAGGCTCTCTGTTCCTATGGGATTACTCACATTACAGACAAAAGCAGAAATTTGCTTCTCCATACTACACATGTGTTTCAGTCCTTCCCTGGGTTGGCCTATTGTTAGAGAGTGGAGAAACAGATTAGTTTTCCACTTATTTTAAGTCTACTTCTACTCTTGCTGACATCAGCGGAAGACTCTCCACTGCAGACCTGAGCCTTTAGTACTAGGTGTCCACGTTGGCGGAATGAAATTTGAACCTGTGTCATCTGTGGAGGTGTTTTAGAGTCTTGTCAACTGAGACTGGACTAAGAAAAAACAATCTGAGGATTGCTTGTCAGCACAGTAATAACCAGTTAGCAGTGATAGACTGGAGAATTTCCCATTCTATTCCTCAAGCCTTCAGAGACTCATTCTTCCTTACCTTCATACAGTGTAAGGATGCACTTACTACCCACACATAGAGAAACTGGGCACTAGGTGTCAGACCAGCAGAGGAAAAGATTAAAGTTACAGTAAGCCTGGACGCAGGAGCACAGGACATGATGAAGCACTTGTACCATTTATTATCTGGTCTTGGAGAACTACACTGGGAGCTCTCAGAGGCAAGAAAGTGAGAGGTACAAATGAATGATTAATTAGGGGTATATAGGTGGCAAACAGAACACAGCTGAGCTGCTCTTGGAATCCTTCTTGGGAGCAAGAGCTCCCACATCCTGAAGTTACGTTTTTCTGGAAAAGTAATGAAAAAAATAAAAAGACCAAAACCAAAACCTGAAAACATCTGCTCAGCTCTAAAGTCCTCCTACAGTCTGCAATTTGTTTTCTCTTTCCAAACCTGCTGACCACACTGCCAGAAAATTTCTTCAAGGGGAGGAATTACAACCGCCTATCCTTCTGGCTATTGCACTTAAGACTCCCTGAGTTCCTGGCTTGGTTAGTAGGGGTGCTGCTCACCCCTAGTATACCGTCTCCTGCAGCCCTCTTTGCTAGTAGTAATATCATCCATAAACTCCCAGGTTAAAGGTTGTGTCACTCCGCTTATTCTCAGTGACTCCATTATTTTCACTCTTTTCCCTATTTCTACTTATAGAAGTCTTTTATTTACTTTTTACAAAACATTTTCGGTTTGATATTCCACTCTGCAAAAAAATGGGGTGTGCAGGAGGACTATTAAAAACCAGGGTGAAATCTGAATTACTTTTGGGACTGGCTTGCAGTCTAAATGGCTGTCTGTGAGAAAATTGTGGTTTTCTAACACCTAACATCTACTACCACCCACCCTCAAAAAACCTATAGGTAAATTCAAGACATCATCAGATGAAGAACAACACTAGGCTCAAGAAAGACGGGTCTTTTTTCACCATCCCTTCTTCTTGAAACCAATTTAAAAAAAAAAAAAGAAAGGAAAGAATTTAAAGAAAACAACCATAAATTCAGTGTCAGCACTGTGGAAAGAAATCAGTAGCTGTTGCAAGACAACGCTTGCTGTTACTTCATTGTTTACAAATGAGCAGGCCTCACTCTTGTTCTAAATCAGACATACAGCTGGAAGACAACAAAGAAAGGGTCTACACCATTATTTATACTGAAGCCAGGGGGAGAATAGATTAAAAGCAGCATAAGTAAAAGATGAATCAGACCACTGACTTCTATTTTGGACTCTAGAAACAGACATCCTATGTAATTATGTCCTGATCACAGCCTCACCCATATACACCATGTGCAGGTGGATTTTATTAAGAGCTTTCCAAGCGAAAGCTGCCTCCACCTGCTCTTACCCAAGGTTAGCTTCCATGTGCTGGTTTCTTCATTTCCACAATGGCACTTAACAAAGAGATTATCCTATAGAAAGGTTCTGTTCATATTTGTCTGTGAAATGGATAGACTTTCAGGCATAGGATATGAAATACAAAAATGTTATCTGCTTTATCAAAATCCCCATAATTTTGTTATGCCTGGATAAGAGATGCAGAGTTAGCCTCAAATAAAATTTTTAAAATACAAATCTAGGTAAGGGTTCAGATTTGGCAACTGTGACAATGTGGTGTCATTTAGACTGGTTTAGATTTAATTGCATAGTACTTAATATAAAACAGCATATAGGGCTGTATATACTCAAGATGACACTAATAGGCAGCATCTTTGATGATCATATAGTCTATAGGTAAAAGTTTGAATAGTCTAGACTGCCTAATGAATGCTGCAATTAACTAGTTCAGAGTAGGCAGTCTCCCAATGCCTACAAAAGCACCTCATGTCCCATTCTGTTATTTTTTGTTCACAGTGCACAAGACTGAAGACAGACTGCATAATCAGAAATGTTCTGTGTCTTTTTTTATGCCTATTCAGTTTGACTGAGATTTTTACAACCAAATTTAATATACCCTGAGAGTTACTGCAACGGAAATGCAAACACAGATGACTGCTGCTCTAAGCAGGGGCTGAATCATTTCTTGAAATGAAGAGCAAGGTTGCCCTCTGGGGACTTCTCTAGAAGTGCTTCTGAGAGACAGGATTTTTTTGTTCCAGCAAAATAATTTTGCTACAAGGTTTTAATTTTACTTTTTTTTTTTTTTTAAATACAAATGTGAGTAAAGACAGATAGTGCTAAGAACTTCCTACACCAAGAGATGATGAAGCTAAATTTCTACCTAATGCACTGTATTGTCATTTACTCCGTAGTTCACCACACTTTTCAGTATCGCTCTCATGCTGGTATGCGTCAGCCTAAAAAATCTGGTCTGATATAGTCACTGAAATAAAAGTTAGTTAAGTGTTATGGACTCCTACTATGATGTCCGTAAATTCTCACATGCCTTAACCTTCTACTTCTTTAAAAATGGCAAGTTTCCTGGTTGCAGTTTCTATGTGCATTTGAGGCCACAGTCCTGCCTCCAGCTACTGCTGGGGCAGTAACCACACTAGCTGCTTAATTCCTGTATTTACCTTCTACGATAACCAGTTTTTGGTAGGATGCTACATTAGAACAGCTCCTTAATCCCGGCTCATTAATCTGTGTGTCAATAGCAAAGAGGGCAACACAGGTGCGGCTGCAGGCGTAAGGAGGAGGAGAAGCAGGGAGGTCAAAAATGAAGACACATGGTTTTGCTGCCAAAAACAATACACCATCAAAACGCAATTTTAATCCACAAGGTTCGGCTCTGAAGGTTATGTGACAAGGTGGCTTTCTCCACCTTGGTCACCAGCCACCACGGTTTATGTTATTGCTACATACGCCATTACTGACTTCAACCAACGAAGAAATACCCTCACCTCCCGTCCTCACACCTCCCGGTCCGATCCAGGACGTGGAGCAGCACAACTTTCAACCCAGATCCTGTCAAGGTAAGGAAAAAAAAAAAAACCAAACACAAACCCTCTTCCTTCTTGCTTACAAGCAGCCCGCC